GAAAACACAAAAAGAAAATGAAAGAAGAAAAAGAAGGCAGAAAAAAAGATAATCAAGATAGAACACACTATTATAGCCTATGCTAAGGTATAAAAGATAAAAATTATTTATAGTACTAATATATATACTATAAATCTCGAGTATAACTTCTCGTTAGCTATTATTTTATTTATATAAGCAGATCCATGTTAGCTTCACATGTGTTAATTGACTTGTAAATAATTAAAACGTGATTTGCCTAAAATAGAAGGTAGTATAGGTGCTGATTCTTAGTTAGGGGTGAGCCAGAATCCCCACTTTTTCAAATTAAAACAAAATGAAAAAGCTATAGTCATCGTATCAGTTTTGTTAGTCAAAGGATAAGGAAGGTTGCTTGCAAAAACCAGTTATGAAGTGAAAGAGAGTTGAAGTGTTTGCCCTAGTGCAAAACACTGTTTGTTGTTTTTTCTTCTTCTCTACTATTTCTTTTCTTTTCCTTTTTCTTTAAAATGCTATAACGTAAACTTTCAGCCAAAATAATAGTATTATCACCTGCTAGGTCTTTCTGCTTCTTATATAAAATATACTGGGCTATACAACTCGCACTTCTATTTAATAACTACTATTTTGCTAGGTTTCCTAAAGTTTTAAATTATTTTGTATTTAAAAATATTTGCTCCGTAATGGTTTAAGTGATCAGTAGAGAGAGTTATGAACAAATTAAGTTTTTGTTTACAGACCATATTGCAAGATCAATAATTTGTTTATTATTTAACATTTCTTCTGTTAGTACAATTTCATTATCATTAATATAAGTAGTAAGTCTACAAATGCTATTAGCAGTTTCTGATTCTAAAATTTGCTACAAATTTTCTAAATTATTGTTTTTTAAATTTTGTTGTTTTTTGATTTCTGTTTCAATAGTTGATAAGTTAGAATCAAGTAAAATACCTGTTTTTTTCTAACAATTATGAATAATTTGTTGTGTAATAGCATTCTACATATCTTCAATAAATTTAATTGCTTCCAAAACATTTAATTTGCTATAAGTAAATTATAAAAATAGTTATTATAATGTAATATTTAAGTACTGTAACAATTATTTATTGCAGTTTGCAAAATTATGCAAAATTTGCAAATCAAAAAAAAAGAAATCGATAATTTCTAATTTCTAATTTCTGATTTTTTTAGACTTTAAGATTTTTATATTAGACTTTAATAATATTAAAGTCAAATCTAAAAGTCTAATCTAAAAGTCTAAAAAAATAGTAAAGAAATCAGAAATTATCAATTTCTTTTTATTTTTTGATCTGCAAAATTTGCAAACTACAATAATTTAATTAATTAAACTTAATTATTTTCTTCATTTTGGTCAAATCTTCTAATTAACTTTTGTATATATAATTGTTTATATTTATGCTATATAATTACCAATATAGAATTAGATTATAAAAAGATAATATAAAAAATAAATAATTATTTGTTATACTATACTTTAAAATTATTAATTCCCAACCTTTCCTAGCTAAAAACTAATTTAAAATAATTAAATATAGTATATAATAGAGAATAGGAGGTGTAATATTATATTGGATGGTCTTAAAATAACTGATAGTTTAGTTTTATGTAATACAAATATAGTTAGAAATCTTTAAATTTTGAACATCTGTTCTCTTTTGTAATAAAGTTTTTACTATAGTATAATAATAATAATAATAATAATAATAATAATAATAATAATAATAAAAAAAAAAAAAAAAAAAAAAATATTAATAATAATAGTATAT